TTTCCCTAAGAGTAGTTGGATGGTAATGATCTCTCATATAGCGATGTTGAAATGTAGCTGCCTCAAGTACCATAATTTTGTAGCTGCATAAGAAAAGCATGGCTACCATTGCATGTCTAACTCCTGAAAATGTTAACAGCTTGCATTACTGCCCCATATGAGCTGCAGCATGGGAAGTTTAACAGAACTGGGGATATGTTTGCCAAAATGTACTAAAAATGTAAAAAAAACAAACAAAAAAAACCCACAAAACCAAACCAAAAAATCCTAAAAGGTCCTCATAAAGGAATGTGTGCTTTGAACTTAAGTCAGCGCCAGTATGGATGTTTTATACCTATTGAAAATGTTTTTCCTAATGGAAAAAGGGCTCGTGTAGAAGCTTGTGTGCTTCAGTAAGTCTTTCTTGCAATTGAATTGCAGCATTTGAATGGAATAATTTAAGGTTGTTCAGAAAGATGAATGACCTTTCTGTAGTGTGTTACACTAACTGAGTTTTTAATTTAGCATCTTAACAGATTTAAAAAATATAAAAAGTAGAGTTCAATTGTAAAATGTTGATTGAGATCTTGCAATAAAGGAAAATCAAATTTTCACTGTTTATTTTGTCTTCTGTTTAGTTAAACTGCTGTTCTGCTTAGTTGAATTCAAGCCCTAACCAATTTTTGCTGCATTATGAATTGTCCAACTTGCTTTTCTTCAGGCCATCTTCAGGCTTGTCTTCCATGAAAATACTGATCGCATTCAAAATGATCTTTCTTAAAATTTTCTGCCTCGTTCTTTGGTCACAAATAATTGTTTATCTGTCTTCCTTTTTTATACTGAAAATAACTTGGGCCTTTTCTTCTGCTTAGACCTCAGGAAACACACATAATGGTTGATGTCACTTTTCTTTCAGTTCATTCAGTATTTGTTTTAGTTAGGCTTTTGAGCTCTCTCTCCAGTCATTTGAAAATATCGCTCTCATTTGCTGATGTCATCTTAACCAAATTATTTTTAGATTTGGTGCTTCATTTTCTCTGCCTTGTGTGCCATCTGCAGCATGTTGACCGTGCTTTTCTGAAACACTGTACTGTCTCCAGAATTCTGAGTGAGAAGGAAACCTTGGTTTTCAATGGATGGAAAAGAGCTTTCCTTTTCCTTGGGGGATGGAGGACGGATATAAGCTAATAAGCTGGATGCTTGCATGCGAAGTGATAGTCTGTGCTTCTGATTCCTTCTCTCACTTGAAGAGAAAGATTGTTGACCATGGAAATTGTTCTTGGGAAATGGTGAAGGCTCAGAATTCTGTTTCAGAACTGAGCTTGGGGCCATCTCATGCCATATTGAGTGAGTTGAACACTGGTGAGAGAAGGTGGTAAATTAGGGCAAGATTGTCTGGTGCTGACAGTCCATCTTGTGCTTCTGGAGGAAGCTTCGCCAGGAATAGGAGAGAAGAGGTGATTGTGAAAGACTTGCAGGGACTCCTGTCTTCTGAAAGACTTGCTAAAAGAGTAGTGGAGGAGATCAGAGTAGAAAATAAAGCAGGTAGAGGCTGAACAGATACAGTCAACTTCAGATGTCAGAACAGAATTGTACTGTTTCAGGCTCTTAATCAGATAAAAGTGGTTATTCAGTGAACTGGCTGCTCTCAGGTTGCAGCAGGTAGCTGACGAGGAAAGGCCTACAATATTTAGGCGGAAGTGCCTAGACCTGGTGTTCACAGGAACGTGGTCATTTGTGTGAAGTGGTAGAACAGGGCAGATGTGCTGCCTTTCTACAGAGTTTCTTCTGTGTAAAGTCAACATCTTGTTCATGAATATGCAGAGATGCTGTTCCATGGTAAAACCAGAAGATGTCATTCTGTAAATCACTGTTTAATTAGCCATGTAATTAAAAGCATCCATACTGAGCAGTTGAAGAAAAATGCCACATGAGATTTTCTGAAACGCAAGTTAGCTTTATAACTGTAGGCTATGTTTTTGATGATGAAAACTTAATTAAATTCAGTGATGACATCATATAAATAGATCAAAAGCTCCATAATAAATGAACTTATTATATTTACAAGGAAGTCAGTATGCCATTAGTTTTTTCTGTAGTTTTCTCCGTGTCATATATAAAATATCTGACCTGATAATCCCAACCAAGAGGCATATCTCTTAATATTTCAAGATGTAGTTGTCAAGCAGGGTATTTAGTTATCTGTAAATGTGTAAAATACTGATGATTCAGCAGCAGAACATAAGAATTTCAAATTATTTCTCCTACAGTAGAACTACTGTTTTCCTGTTGAGAAGCTGTAACTCTTAAACGGTTTGATAATTTAATAAAAAAATGTAACTACTACTAATAATTAAACACTGAAAAATTTGTGTGATGCTACATCCTACTAAGTACTTTGCTGTGTTTATTTATGTATTATTATTATTATCTTTTTTACACAATAACCTCTCTTGGCTGACCACTGCATGCAGATAGTCGGAAGTAAAGTTCCGGTGAGTATGAACATGATAGTTTTGTTTTTTCTTATGAATACACTTCCATTTTTAGAGACTATGCTGGAATATTTTGGACTTTTATCTTGGATTTAAAAGTTCAGTGGGCATAACTGAATCCTTGTTTTATCAAAATAATTATAAACTATTTCAGTCATGTTTATCATACCAGTATAAGATCGTTGATTGCGCTTTTGAGGGATCTTTTCTTAAGTTTTCAGGAATCTATTTCCAAATACTTCGGTCTCACTGAGAACTCATCTGTTCATTGTGAGCAGCAAATATAATTTAGGCTTGTCGTACTTTTTATTGAAGGCAATCACTCGAAACTTTAAATTTACGGTATTTGGCTTGCCTCATTCTGTTTAGACACGGACTTTTTACTGTCCTAATTGTTAGTATTCATAATTTGTTGTGGAAATGTCAGCTGCTGGATATCAGTATGATAATAAGTTTAATCTAGAGGATTCAGAAGGTCAGTTAATAAGCATAGGATGAGATGACTCGCAGCGTAACTTTTCTCTTACTAAATGCTCAGCTACATTTTATGTTATGATTGAAATTAGTGGGTTTTTTAGCAACTATTTGGGACTCAATTTGTTGGACTAAATTCAGAAAATTTTTGTTTGCTGGAAAAAAAAAAAAGTGGAGAAAGTAATTACATATACAATCTAAATGATGGCTGAAAGCAAAGATGTTCTTTTTAATTATGGATGGGCTTTATTTTTGATTGCAGCCAAAACAGGCTTTTCAGGTACTGGAAGTTTTTTGACTTCGGTCATATTCAGTATTTGTGTTTTGGAGTAAAAATACTAAAGAACAACTGATGGCTTTAAAAAGTCTAATCATTACCTCAAATGTACTTAAATGTATAAGGATATGGTGTGTAGGGATAAAGAAATTGCTTTTGGCTTTGTTATATTCAGAGTGGTCTTTAAACAGACTTTTCTGTCTGTATTCACCAGTACTTTTTAGCTCTGTACACAGTATTGGTTCTTACACTGATTGAGAAAAATATGTAAACACTATGAAGGCATTTAAAGATATTTGATTTTTGAGGGGACAAGTTATTAATTCTCCGGTTCAGTGTGTTCAGACCAGTTTCAAATAATTCCTGCTGCCATGTAATTTCCTTATGATATGAATAGGCCTGAACAGCTGTTTTGTGAAGAGATCATTTTCTAAAGGAAACTTGTACATGCAGAATGGGTAGTGGAGGAATTATATCTCTTTTCTTCTGAATGCCTTTTAATTTGGGTTCAGATGGAGTGCAAGAGCAGTTATGCATTAAAAGCATGTTTTTGCACAGATAACTTGTAAAATAAGAAATTACGCTCTTAGAGTGTGGCTTCTGCATATTATTGCCTACAGAATGCATGCATTTGGGGTGTGTGCTTCTTCTCAGTGTATGTTCTTATGGGATTCGTCCTTCGGGAATTGATCGCATCTGCTGGCATATGTAGTTGTTTTCCTGAAGACTGACAAATTTACTGTCATTAGGGAGGAGAAGAATTTTGGGCTGTTGCTGCTAGTACTGCTGGGTTGTAGTGAAAATCCCAGAGGAGAGGTTTGCCTGCTAATAGGGCATTTAGAGCTTTAACTTGTTTGAGTTTTACTTGGGATCTCAAGCACTGGTGCCCACTAGTCATTTTAGCTGCCTGCAGAGTAACCTTTCGTTGCCTTTGTAGCCAGTGGTAATTCCATTGAAATGGCAGCGGTGCATCTTCTGTTTATCTGTAAGGCATTAATGGAGATGTCTGAAGTAGGATTAGCTTGTTAGTTCTGTTT